CCCCGGCAACCTCGCAGCTCCGTGAGGGATCAAGCCCTCGTTGGCCATGTCGAGGAGGTCCTTCTCCGTGATGGTCGACTGGATCCAGTCGCCTTGGACCCAGCCTTTCGGCAGGCGGGATCTGGACGAGGATCCTCTGCGGCTGGTGGATCTTCCCTTCGCCTTCTCCGATGCCGACGCCTTCTTGGCACGCTCCAGCGCCGCCGTCTTCTCCTTGGCCATGGTCGCCGGTGAGATGCACGAAGGGAAGCGGTGCGGAGGCAAGAGCGGGCACGCTGAGCAGGGAGGAAGGGAGCAGAGGGAGAGAGGGAGAATGCTGAGGCGCAGCACAGAAATCTTCGCCGGGCACATTTATAAGGTCCCTTCCGAGTGGCTGACGTGTGGGCCCGGTCGATCTAATCATATCTGTGAGCAGTTATGAGGACTGGATACGTGGCGAAAAAGGCGGCGCGGAGATCGAGGCGTCTACGCCCCGTCCCATCCGAACGCCGCGGTCTGCCCCGCTTCGCGCGCGCCCCCAAATTTCGCACCCCGCAGAATCCGCGAACAACAAATCAGTCTGTCAGACGCGGTGATTCCGGCGATCCGTCGCTCGGAGATCGACGAAGCTCGAAAGATCACTCGACGCAAAAATAGAATGGATCGAGTCGACCGAAGACGAATTGCTCCCTGTCAACGAAGAGATTCTTTGATCCAGAACAGCGCACAACTAGAGCGCAAAGGTTAATCGGAAACGACATCAACTCCTTCTTCACTCAAAGCCTCAATCCATTCGGGGGCTAATGATGGGGTTATGTACCTAGGGTAAGGTCACGAACCTGTCCCAAGTAACTTACCCTAGGACATCCCTAGAAGAGGTCGCCTTCCAGTCGACCACCGAGGACTCACTCGACCAACGAAGACACACTCGACTGGCCTGAAGGACTCGACCACGAAGACGCACTCGACCACCAGGAGGTCAAGAGGCACTCTGCACCACAACGGTCTGTAATTAAGTAGACTTTATGATAGTAAAGGCACTTTATGTGGGGCGTTACCAGTAACGCCCCAGACTTAACTCACCTTAAACCTTATCCTACGTGGGCTGGCTGGGGTCCTGGCGCACTCTATATAAGCCACCCCCCTCCACAGGCAGAAGGGTTGGGCACCTTGTAATCCATACATTCGTAATCCACTCGACCGCCTCTGGGCTCCGAGACGTAGGGCTGTTACTTCCTCCGAGAAGGGCCTGAACTCGTACATCCTTTGTGCTTACAATCTCTCCATAGCTAGGACCTTGCCTCTCTATACCTACCCCCCACTCTACTGTCAGGCTTAGAACCACGACACTTGGTGTACTCAATGCAAAGCTTGTCATTTTCAGTCCTCAGCTTGGCCAACTCCCTTTCATGTTCACTCTTAAGCCTTGCCAACTCCTGCTCAAACTTCTCTTTGTCCTGTACCCTTCCAAAGTTCTGCTCATGGAACATCTCCCATAGCTTGCACAAACATCTCTGAAGAACAGTTGGCCAAGGCCCATCAACCCACTCCGTAACACCACAATTCACACCATTTTCCTGCATTTGTAAATGTGAAAAGTTATTACAATGCCATTAGTAAGTTTCCAAAGTGGCAAAAATACATATGTGTCTGTCATATCAAACAAACTGCTCCATCATATCAAACATCACTGAACATCCATAGCAGAAAACTTAATTGGCATCTAACCTGGACTGGGCAGCCATAGAAACGCCTCCCTGTTACAGGCCCTTCAAAAGCAACACGCTTAATAGGCCTCAGTTGGTGCAGAATGCACTTGGGATGAGCAAGCTCAAGTTGGCCACAGAAAAGGGGCTCCACAGTGGTGTCTGGTTCCTCCTGCAACCATAATAACCAATAAAATATGGTTTCAATCTGCACTCAATACCAGAATCAACTTGCACTGTTCATTAAATCCCCAAATCAGCATGAACCCTAACACTGTACAGAGATGAACCCTAGGTTACCTAAATCCTACAATCAAACCGCACCCTCCACTAATCAAGAACAGTATCACACACACAACAACAACACTACACTAAGCAAAATCCATGGCTGTAGCCTAAGCTACCAGCACCTAACCCTAACCCTAACCCTAGGTGGCAAAGAACTTACCATAAGTCCCATGTCCATGCTGACAGCCTCGCACTCCTCCTCCGAGCTGGTTTCCTCGTCGTTCCAGGAAGGCATTGCGGCAAGGAGGTCGACGGCCACCGGCCTCGAAGACGGCGCGCGGCGGCGAGCTCGTACTGGAGCAGGGGAGTGAGCGAGCAACGAGAGAGTGAGCGAGTGTGTGATCCCGACCGACCGAGCGGGTATATTTACCCCACTTCCGACCGGGCCGGTCGGCTAACGGCCGTGAACTACCGCGCCGTGAGCGCGCGTGGCCACGTGGGCTGACAGATGGGCCCAGGCCGTCAGAAAAACGGTTAAATCGCTAGTCACCGCGGGTTTGGGTTTTTTGAAACAGTGGACCGCGCGTTTGGTAGCTTTCTGAGAAAATTAAAAAAATGGTAGTTTTTTGAAACCCTAACCTGTAAACTAGTAGCTTTATGCTATTTACTCACTGAAATGAGACTTGCACTGCACTTTGGGTTGGAGTTTCTGATTGGCATCCGGTTCCGTTCGATTATTGGGCAATAATTGGTGCATGGAAAAACAAGCGAGCGTGTAGGTCGAATCATCGCTGGGCAACTGCAAATTGTTTGTATCCAGCAGACACGAAAAATGTCAAAAGTGATTACATACATTATGGCCTTTGTCAACAATGAGAAGAATATCCTATGAGTTGGGCGGAAGACTAGCGTATACCAAGTCTACTATGGTGTAAAGATTGACAAAACTGACCTTTACAGGAATCATCGCCGGTCAGGATGCTAGCCAATTTGCATGGCAACGCGAATTTGGGTGCCACCCACCAGAGTGTGTGGCAATGTTTGCCGAAAAATGCCGAATTCTCGACCGTGGTTCGGCTCCCTTGAGAAGAAGATATCAGGGCAGGCGCTTCGCCGGAACATCACACCGCCCGACACATTCATGTCTGCTCGAATCCACCACGCAGTGCTACAAACTTCACTAGTTGATGGAGCAAGGAGTGATCTTCTCTTATGCAATCCTGATGCACATAAAACTATTGAATCTGTAGTTGAGCACATCAGCAAAAGTATTATGTCAAAGACGTGTCACTACTCACTACACGTCTGCAACATTAAGCATGAACTGGAGCAGCAGCAAGCGTACCATGCTTTCAGCTTCGGACATCCCGGCGCATACTTCAAGAACGCAGAAGAACCATTTGCCCAAAAACATATTCAAATCAAATGAGGCAAAGAGGGGCGAAACACACACCGTCTTTTTTCCGATAGGCAAAACAGGATGACAAAGCGACGGCAACTGCAAGAGAAAACGGGCAGCGGCATCATGACTACCAAGTTGGTAAAAGCGTCTCCAAAGCCTAAGCTCCATCATCAAAGAAGCATCATTGCTTCAACCCCCCTCACTGTCACTAATGGTGGTACTTATTTCTTTGTGCTATTAGTATAATGTAATGCGTGTTCAGATCCTACCTTGCTAGGGTCAGGGCTTGTTCATGCACATGGTTAATGGCTGAATGTTAGCAGCAATGTCCAAGTCACGGGCCTCACCGGCCGGCTGAAAAGAGAGACTGAAACGAGACTTGTACTGCACTTTGAATTGAGGTTTCCAGATTGTGTTCGGTTCCGTTCGATTCGATTATTGAGCCATCATTGATGTACACGTGGACACGCTTATTGCTATAAGGATATGCATGGAAAAACAAGCGTGTAGGTCGAATCATCGTCGGGCAACCGCAAATTGTTTGAAAAAAGGCTGTAAGAATCCAGCAGACACGAGAAATGTCAAAAAGTGACATGATTCACCATTGATTGCATACGTTATGGCCTTTGTCAACAATGAGAAGAATATCCTATGAGTTGGGTGGAAGACTAGGGTATAGTAAGTCTACTATGGTGTGAAGATTGCGAAAACCAACCTTTATGAGGATCATCACCGGTCAAGGATACTAGCCAATTTGCATGAATTGATATGCATCTGAACGCGAATATGGGTGCCGCCACGAAATGTCGGCATAGCAATGTTGCTGGGAAGAATGCCGAAGAAATGACCAAGACAAATCATCACCCCCGCTGTCATATTCATGTCCGCACCAAAGCCATCACGCGACACCGTAAACTTGCATTGCAAGGAGTGATCTTCTCTGCTGCACATATTAACTTGACACAGTTCAGCCTTTAGTTTATGACAGATCTGCTACTTTCGGCACCTGCCGGAACACTGAAGCAATCTATTTTTGTTTTTAGGAGCAAACGAGGGAGGGCGATCGCCCACCTGAACACATGCATTGCAACGAAAGACCAACATCACAATCACAGTTTCTTGTTGAACACTGAGGCTTCAGCAAGAAAAACTATTGCCACATAAAAAGATACAGTATGTTGAAGGCAACCGGACTGAAGCAGCAGCAAGCATGGTACAGTTGCAGCTTCAGACATCCCGGCACCTAGTTCAATAACCCACAAGAATCACCAGTCCAAGAACATAGTCCAACCAAATGATGCAAAGAGGGGCAAAACGCGCATCATCATTTGCGATAGGCAAAACATAATAAATATCCGGTTAAACATACTTAACCAGCAAATCTCAGGTACAACAAATACCCCCCCTGATGAACATAGTTTAAGCAGCTAACCTACACCGCCTGTCAACCCTCTCGATTCTTTCAGCGTAGCGTATCTTACAGAATTCCCCTGTGGCCTGACCAAACTTCCGCGATAACACAGCACCATCAACTCACTTGCTTCCCACCAGCAGATACATAAGCAAATTACCTACTCCTACAAAGACTTCTTCCTGTGCAGACTTAAGACACTATAGATATATAAACATGAGATGTGCAAGAGGCTCCCGGTTCTTCCGTGTGATTAAGATTAATAGGGAGATGATCACATGTTGGCCCCCCTCGAGATCAGGATGGGTCCGTATGGTTCCACCTGTGTGACCTTGATGCGATCGAGCGTTGCCAAGACTGCACAAGATAAAACCCTCAGTGAACAATAGTTTACATTCAGTGACATGACCAAACAGAACGGTTAAAAGAATTGCACTCAACGTCCTAGGGGTTATCCATCTAGTCGATGCTATCAAGGAAACTTGGTGTTTCTTCCCCAGTTTCAAGCTATATATGTTCTGCTTTTAACACCGCAGCTAAGTTAACTTATCAGGAAAGCTAGCATGTCATGCAAAGTGTGTAATTATAGTCATTGTCCATGGAAATTATGAATAATCAATCAACAGCAAAGCAACTATATAAAATCATGCGGTAAGACCTTTGATTTCTTATTTACTCTAGTGACTGCACGATTTATTCACAATGTAGAACTGTTCCATACCACATGTTTGATAGAATAGGCGGGAAGCCTGTGCTGTATTCATCCCATAAGTTAGCTGGCTTAGCGATTCAGACGGCGGGGCATCCGGACTCTCGAAGTGGAGCTTTAGGTACCTGCATGAATTTAACTCCAGCGTCACACGACGTACACACTTGTACTCCGCGAGTCAAACATAAGCCACCCCAGAATTATCAGCAATGTGCTCAGGATACTTACGAGTGAATTGATTCAGTGATGTGATCAGGAGGACTGGATTGCTTTGTGAACGGGGTTTGAGTTGGTTCTGTTTCTACCATAAGATCTGAAACAAGAAATGTTTTTAGCTGCTATTTTCAGGGACAACAGTTTAAGGTAAGGACAGAAAGGCAGAAATGCAACCCACCAGGAGTTGGTTCCATATCTGAAAGCCTTCTCAGCTTGAACTCCCTCTCTTCTTGCTCCATTGGGAATTCCTCTTCAACTGGATCAAGGTTCCCCAAGCTTCGTCCAGATGAAAGCTGCCTCCTCTTGGCCCTGTTCCATAGTCCTCAGACAGTTACACTAAGAAACTAAGCAGGACAATGAAAAAACCACAGGAAGCTGCCACTTATGATGGTTTCTTTTTTTCTTGTGGGAGCCACTTATGATGGTTAACATCAATGATCAGGTGTTTTCCTTTATATCCAACGCAACATCAGGGAGACAGCTCTAACAGTTTCTAGACAGAGCATAGAAATGGAAGGAAAACCCAGTACAAAGAGAAAACTTTCTTAATCACCGAGTTTTTTTTTTCATAACAAGATCACATAGTCAATTATTCGTGCAACTAATAAAGAACAAGGTTACTATCAGTATCAACAGTCACCTTCCACTTCCAGATTGTAACTGTATTTCTGGATCCAATGGCAGAAATGCCCCCCTTCCAGAGCCACCAGAGCTTGAAGCTGACCTGCGACTTAGCCCTACAGCAGAGTTGGTGTCATGAAGCGGCTAAAGAAGAAGGAACTTAAAAAAGAAAGATTTCCAACTTACCAGGACTTCCAGGTGTAACACTAGGGTCACCATGCGGACGATCAAAAACACCTTCAAATTCTCCACTCTTGTTTGCTCTCATCTTTTCAATGCCATCTGTGAAGTCCATTGGTGTGAAGTCCATTGGCTGAGCTCCCATTTCATTCTGATCTCCTTGAGGCTGCCAGTGAAAACCAATTATGAGATAAATGTTGATGAAAATAAATCAATAGAGAAATGTGTTCTGAAACAACCTGAGGCGAAGGGTTTCTCGGCTGCTTTTCTTGTGATGATGATGATGATTTATCTCCTGTATGAGATAGTGTGCAGCTTGGAATTAGCACTTTTGCAAGTTAAAAGGTGGGTGACACAAAGTTCAGTGTTATAGTTACCTGAAGAAGATGAGGGCTTTGGGGTCTTGACTTTGGTGCATTCCTTCCAGAGCTGCATAAGCTGCTGAGGGTAATATATCTCTTGTGAGTCATCGGAGAAAGACATTAGGGCAGACGGTGGCAAGTCCATTAGCTCGCCTATCTTAATTGCCTTAATAGGATTGATTTTCTGCAAATAGTAAACAGCAAAACAGCAATTCGGTAAGTACAATGCATGAGTTCAGAACTATCGGAAAATAGGTGGTTCCAATCAATAACACGTTGACATACACTCCTGACTTGACGCCTTTTAGAGGTGAGGCTTGATGGGTCCTTCAACCATGACTGATATACATTTCCTGGGATCATTATCTGGTTATCTATGATCACTTGGGGCCCCTTGCCGCGTGCTTTCCTCTTTGCTCGTTTAGTTGGTTGTTGCTCCTGTATTGCGAAAAGCAATCTCATGTAAACAACATCAAATTCCTTTTCCATATAAGAGTTTCAACTAAAGCCAACTATTCATCACGTAAATGGTACAGACCGTCGTCTTCTGCTCCTCTTGCTCCTTCAATGAATCCCCTGCAGAAGATACTTGCCCTATAGTATATGAGTAGCTGAACTGAGTCCAGTGGTACAACTTCTAATATAACATGCAACCAGTGAACTAGCCAAAGGACAATAAGCTACATGCAAGATTCGTTTCAAATAGAAAGGTTCCACATCAGTTTACTTGCAAAACCAGTATTATAAGTGCTGCTCATGATCAGTCATAAAATAGAGTGAATGGTATTATCAAATTACCAAAAATCTGTAGTAAATTCAGCTGCAATCAGTACTACACTACTTATCCACTTAATCTATAACATATAGTCCTGCCGCATTCAAATTGGCCATTTACAAAACCGACTGGGGATAATGAGCGAAGACGATATGCTTAGAACCAGCGCTACTTGACCGAATAGCCATAGCGCACAATATGCTAAGCACCATTGCAAATCTTAAGCTCTCACAAATAACCTTAAAGTTATACTAATCCAGAAGAAACTCAAAGAAAAAGTCAATGCATTGGTGGAAGTTTCCCTGAATTGAAATAACATGGTAAATGTGTCGCAGACTCAAAATGAGATGAAAATTGGTGTCTATTAGCGTTAAACTGAAACCATTTCCAATTTTACAACGTGATAAGCCATTTCCCACTGTAGCATCGTCAAATATACTAGTCATGTGCTTAATTTCACCTTGTTGAGGTTCTTCGCGGATGGGGGATGGGGCAGCACACTGTTCCTGTTGTTGAGGAGGGTCTTCTGGCCTTGGTGGAGAGGGTACTAGTGTACTTGGAGCCTCTGGGTGTCCATCGAGAATAATATGGACTGTGGTGTCATCATCTGCTATGTCAAATCTGGTGACAAGGTAGTATTGCACAATGAATATTGGTACTCACCGCCAAATTAAAAGAAGACGCAACATTGATGATACGAGAATGGCACACTAAAATAAGAATAACTTTTCTTTTCTTTTAATTAGGGAAACTTAAGTCTCCTTTACCTCTCAAAACGATTGAAGATGTCAGTTTCAGCAAGACCAGACTCAAAATTATCGACCAGGGTAATGTTGACTGCCTCAGCTGAGATACGATCATAAAGAACCAAGAGTTAATAATCAGTAGCCCTTAAGAACCCTCAAAGAGCAATACCAAAGAGCAGAAAGAAATACCTTGATGATGACGGTCAGCGCGAGAGATGTCATCATCATCCAGGTTGACATTGACATACCGTTCGTCCAAATCCTCCAGGCGCTGCACAAACATAGACTTCGGTCAAGATGAGTGCAGGCAATTCAGACAGAAGCTAGGAGACAGGAAAACCATCCATTCATTTAATCAGAGTTTCAACTTCCAGAATACACAGATGACAACGATTACCATTCCCCGGAACCTAGTAGTATCAGTATCTGTGAAAAACACGGGCTGCTCCACCTCCATATCCACCGCGTTCTCTGGCAGTGTTACTGCTTCATACCTGCAAGAAGCAGCACTTTCAGATAAAAATGACTCACTGTTTTCTTAATCTTAAGACATATCATTCTCCATAAAACCCTTTTCTCAATGGCAATGACACAGTAGCAAGAGGTTAAATATCTCATTTGGAGTGCTAACAAACTTTCAAAGGCAAGCGACAAGAGTCCGCGCTCTGAACATGACAGAATGTTAAGATATGTCAACAGTTTTCCAAGGTGATAAAGATCCCCTCTGAACATAGCATTATTTCTCAAGTACCATACAACCCCCAGATCTGCTATAATTAGATCATCCAGTCTCAAGAGATTGACTGATATTGAATAAGAAACCAATACCAAAATAATAAGTCAGCACTGAACAGCCCAAAACCAACCGATATCTCACTGTCTCAGTCAGCCACCCCATTATTAAAATTGTTAAGATAACAAATGGACAAACTATGTCCTAAAAAGCTGGAGAAACTATAAAATGCATAAAGTCCTGCATAGAATACACATACATATTGGCCAGAAAAACCACCTTGCAACCTGGAGCAGATTAAAATTGACTAACCCAGACATAAAAATCAGCAACATCAGAGACATAAATACCTGCATGAACCCTTGCAGCAACAGCTATAACACCCAAACGACCCCCCTTAGGCATAGTTGCAACCCATGAATTTTATCAAGCAATGAGAATATCAAGACAGGAGACACAAAATCATATGAAGGTCTTATATGAATAGCTGCTGGCCCAGAAACACAAGAACAGAGTCAAGTTACAGCAGGATCACACAGCGAGGGCCCACGGCTAGGGCTGTGCGTCCCAGTTACATTTCACAGCATGGACCCATGGCTAGGACTGTGCATCCCAGTTACATTTCACGCAATTGGTGATATGGCATCATCAATAAAATTCTAGAAACATCTGAAAACACCACAAAGTAGTGCCGTTGGTCATTGTAAAATCAGTAGTGCACAACGGAGCACACAGCAATAGTTACCAAGCAAGCTGACAGACTGACAGTGTTGTTAGGCATCTTAAGAAATTTCATAAACACAGAAAGTTCAGTTGCTCATACGGCCACTTTGGCACCTTGCAACAGCCTCCAATCTAAACCATCAGACTAACACCACACGGTCTAAACACACAAAGAAAATTCCATTTCCACAGAGAAATGAACACCAACTCTCCATCGTCACCACGCAAACACATTCAGAAACATCTGAAAAAAATCACATATCATCGTAAACGCAATAAAGTGCAATGCAGAACACACCAATTGGTAGCAAGCAAGCTGACAGAGACTGACATTGCTATCTAGCCTCTTAAGAAATTTCATAAACAGACGAAGTTAAGCTGTCCATAAACACAGCCACCTGGTACCTTGCAAAAGCCCCCAATGTAAACCATCAGGCTAACACCACAAGGAAAGTCTAAACACACAAGGAAAACCCCATCTCCGGAGAGAAATGGACGCAGGCTCCACATTATCACCACGCAAGCACATTCAGAAACTTGTGGCAGGGCATGGAGAGGGAGAGGGAGAGAGCACTCACTTGGCTTGAGCCTTGCCCTTGGGGAGGACGGTGTGGTCGACGGCCGGCCTGATCTTCCATGCCTCGTTGATCTCAATCTGCGGAAGACATCAGCACAAGCGTAAACGCAACCACCAAATCACCAAGCAGCAGGATGCAGAGAAATCGGTCGGGCGAAACTGGAAGTCGGAGTTTACCAGGAGACGGGACACATCATCTGCGAGGAACCACACAGTTGGAAACGATGAGAATCTGAAGATTTCGACAACAAAATAAGTGCGGCGAGCAGCGAGGGACGGCGGCAGATGGACTGACCGTAGAGAAGCTTCACCTTCCTCTCGTACACGATCACCACGCCGCCTGCTCATCACGCGCACACAGGAGGCAGCAACAACAGCAAACGCGCGTCACATCCCCGGGGGAGAACAAGAACGAATCCGGCGAGAAAAAAAAGGGAGCGAAATGACCCGGAGGGACGGCTCACCCATGAGGATCCCGGAGAGCCTGAGCGCCATGGGCACCGACGGGTTCAGGATCTCCTCGCTGCAGCAGCGTCAGACACAGCGCGGCACACGCGAATTAAAATCGGGGCGGACCGCGGGCCCTCAAAGCAGAGGGAAATCGGCGGGATCGGGTCGGGGGCTCACCAGATTTTGATGATGTCGAGCTTGTCGAGGCGCTTGCGGTTGATCTTGGCGTGGAGCGTGGCGGCCATCCTGCGACGGGGACAGAGGAGCAGAGGAGCGTCAGAGGAGATCGAGGCGAGGCGACGGGGAGCCCGCCGCATTGGGAGCGGACCGAACGGGCGCGCCCGGAAACGGCCCGGACCGAGCGGAGAAACGCGAGAGAGGCGAAATCGGTGGCCGCCGGCGGCGGCGGCCGGCGAGGAGGGAGGGAGAGGAGGGGACGCACCATATCTGGCCGAGCGGCGCCTTCCGCGCGAGGAGCTGGTGCGAGTAGAACATCTTGGATGGCCGCCGGGAGGAGGTGGAGGCGGTGGCGCGGCGGCGAGCACGGGAGAGGGGCGGAGTGGGTGGGGGTTTTGGGAGGGGTTGCGGTGCGGTGCGCTTCCGTGGGGAGGTGGGAAGAACCGAAGAAGGGTGGGGGGTCGCAGTGACGGTGCGCGCGTGGAGGGCAGTATCGGGATTTCAGCGTGCCGCGCTGCGGGCATGGAGAAACTTTTGCGCGCCGCCTCCCCTTGGAAAAGCCAAATTACGTGCCAACCCCGTTTCGGGCGTCTCTGATAGGGTTGATTTACGGTTGTGATTGCTTTTTATAGTTGATTTTGATTTGATTGATTCGTGGGGCTGAAAAAGTGAAAACCACATTTACGTCCACTTCATCAAAACTCTTCAAAAGAATCATTTGGTTTCCTCTATACAAGCGAGCATCCTTTCAAAAAATAATAATATTATAGTTGAAAAAGATGGCATAGCATTTTTGATCATGCGTTCTTCTGTCCACTCCGCCTTACGATTCATGGGGAACAAATATGTTGTTACAGGTGGCTACTGTGGGAAGAATGATGGCCGACTCGGCGCGTTTCTCTGGCGACGCGTTGGGCGAACCCGTTTCGTGGCGATGGCCGGCGGGTTCGCCGCGGATCTCCGGGCGGCGAGGGCTCTCAGGTAGCGTCGTGGCGAGGTTGTGCTGGCCTCGCACCCGGCGACGGTGCGTCTCGTCGGCGAGCGGGGGTGCACGGTGGACGCACGTTCCAGGGGAGGGCTCGTGTTAGCACCCGGTGCCACGATTGTGTTCCCCTGTCATGTTGCGCGCATCGAGGGGGGGGCCCAGACGGGGGTGACGCCTCGGAAGCCGGCGAGGGAGGAATTGCGGCCAGTGGGAGAGGAATTGCGGCCGATGGGGGATTAATTCCGAGCGATATTTCTGGCGAGCTCGCCCCGAACCCTCCTTGCCTTTCACTTCTCCTTCCACACACCCCATTCCCTCCTCTGCTTGTTGGCGACCGCGGCGGCGATGGTGGAGATCGACGAAGAGAAGATGATGAGGTTCGAAGGCAGGGACGCGCGCCTGCGTGCTCTCCTGCGAGAGGTCGGATCATGGCACACAAGCAAAATAGCGATGTATGCGGAGGCGGAGGCAATCTTCGAGGGGCCGACGGCGATGGAGGAGAGATCGCTCTTCGGGCATGGGGGACGCAAGCATCCGCTCGAGGTGCTGCTGTGGGCGATGGATCAGGTGGATTCACTAGTGAGGTCTGTGGCAAGGAAGTGGGTGGCGTTCACCTCCTTCGAGACCGCGAATCTCGCCCCAACCATGAGGGGATCGGCCCTCAGATCTCGCGAGGGGGTCCTGGCCCTTCCCACCCAGGTTCGGCCATGGCGCCGATCGAGATCTGAGAAGACGTGGTGGAGCAGCCACCGCAGGAGGCGGTGGAGATGCCGCGTCACTCCGCTCGACTTGCTCCGGCTCCTCCAACCCCGACCCCACGCCATTCGGCACGCCTCACTGGGAACGATGCCTGAACCCTTCACTAGCCAGCAACCGCTTCTGGAGGCTGGCTAGTGAAGATTTAGGTAGCGATTCTGACGAGGATGTTGCTGATTCAGGTACGGATAATTGTTCCCTGCCTCTGTACGTATCTCCTGTCTATGAATTTGGGGGAAAATCTCATGTAATTGATATACAACGCCGAATCAGGCGGGTAAATCGTAGGATGAAGAAGAAAATGAATCTATATGTTCAGAGTTTGCTTCTGAAGCATGAGGTAGAAGTTGATAAGGATTACTATAACACAAGTCAGACAGATCGACATGGAACATTTACTCAGGTTGAGTCACCTAGTTGTGGAAAATATCATAGTAATGGAATAGACATGGCATTGATAAATATTAAACCTAGGAATCCTATAATCTGGGATTATGCCAGATTTCCTGAATACTTAGGTGATATTGAGATTGATGAGGTCACTTCAGTTAAGGAGGGGGGATAGCAGATTTGGGGGGACTGGTGCAATGGAAATGATTGATAAGGAAGTAGTTAATGTGGAAATACCTGAAAATCCAATGCTAGAGGAAGTGGCTGATGAAGTTCAAAGGGGAGGAAGAATGCAGAGACCTGGGGAGGAAGACAGGGGAGATAACAGAGGAGATCACTGCCCTCAGGGATGGTTTGAAAAGTTGGGCCTTAAGGCTGTCAGGCCCACTGAGGTAGGTGGTTTGGGTGGCCCAGGAAAGAAAGACGAGGGAGTGGCCATATATAAAGGGGGCATCCCCTCTCTCGTTCCAGAACCAGACTTCTCCACCTACCAAACCCTAAAGATAAGGCGGCAACAAGCTTGGGGGAAAGATCTGAGGAGGGAGAAAATTCCTGGAGAGAAGAAGAGATCATGGCAGGCAGGTAGGAGAATGGAGACCAAGACCAGGGAGAGGGACAGGCTTCGGTGGAAGAGGTAACTACTATGGCAAACCTAGCAATTATGATAGAGGGTTTAACATGCAAGATGTGAGAGACCAGGACAACTTTGATTGGAGAAGGCAAAGATGGAAATTACAGAGGGGGGTCTGGGCCTAACAGCAGTGGTTCTGGGGGAGAAGGGACTTCAATGGGAAATGGTAGAGATCTAGATG